CTTCCACCTCCATGCTCCTCCAAGCTAGCATCGATGACATCTCCATGATCTTCATTGGCTCCAATGTGTCCTTCTAAGCCATGATAAGCCCTTGCCGCATCAATTATTTATTGTGGAATATAATTAATAATTGCAATTGTATTGTACTTGAGCCTTTGACTCAATGGTAAGTGCATTTTCACTGAAATCATTAGATTTTACGTTCAAGTCCCAATGCATATAAACTACGGGTTTTGTGTGCTGTTGGGCTTCGTGTCTCTTTGTGGGCTTTGTTAGTTTTGTTTGAGCATATATTAGTAATGAGTAGTGACAAAACACTTTAACAAACCATTTGTTTGTTATAATCATGGAATTAAATATCCGTCGATACCTTGATATATCGGTCGATACCTCGATATATCCGTCGAGATATCCGATATCTGTAACCCTCGATATAAATATCCAAAAAAATTTCAATGTCACCGGATATCCGTCGATATATCCGTGTATCCGTCGATATTTATCGAAATCTTGATATATCCGTAAATATCCATATTAAATTAAATATTTTTATCATTTTTACATCTAGGATTAAAAATATAAGTGACATTTCGATGAATTATTTCATTTTTTAAAAAATATTAGCAATTGAAGTCATTTCTACAAAAGTGTGGTAATATTAATACGAAGAATTGTTTCGTTTAAGTAATTCGGTTTGAAATAGACCCGTGTATAATATAATACAATTTCATTCGAATGAGCAACAACCACAATATCCACTTGAACAACAGACTTATAATGAGCATTCGGTGCAACAGCCATCTGCGGACACGGTTTCAGGTGAGTGCCCCCCTATTGGATGGCTAGCAAGTATTAGTCGAGAGGCATATTTGAAATATGTGCACAATTATGTGGTGGTTTATAAACTTTTTATGTCATGGCTTGAATATTTTAACTTGATTACCGCCCCAGGGGAGATGATACATCTATGCCTAGTAGAAGGCATAGCAGTGGTAACTACGGTAGCAGTGATTTTGAGCCTCCAAGAAATTCAATGTGGTACTGAGGATGTGTTTGTGCTTTGGATTGTGTTCTGTGACAAAAATAATGTAAAATAATGCACTTATAAATATGATATAGTACTTTCTTGCTTCAAAAAAGAAATCATCTAAACTTTTGCATTTAATGAAGTGATTTATTTGGTAACCATCATTTTGAAGATAAAATAAATGCATGATTAAATTAGTATATTTGATTTATACATATTATATACACTTTTCACAGTTAAAAATATTAAAAAAATGACTACATATACTCTATTTATCATATCTTGACTCTAAAATATGTGGAAATATGTAAATAAAAATTGGTCAAAATTTCAAGGTAAAATTCAAATATTTACTATAAATATCCGTCGTTTTAGTGCATTTTAGACCACTTATTTTTGAATTTCATCGATACCTCGATATATCCGTGGATATCTGTATTAACCTTCATAGTAATATCTATCCCTTTGTATCAATATAAAGCAAACTATGCATATCAAAGCATAAGTAAGTTAAACATTAATTTTTTTGTGGTTGAGGATTTCTTGCATTGCATGGGACTATTATAAATTCATACTTCTTTTCTGTTTTCCCCACTTAAATTAATATTATAGTCAAGATCTCGTAGACTTAAAATATAATTTGAACTTAACAATCTGAAGGGTAAGAGTTGTAAAATTTAGTCAGTAGGGACATCGAATTCTATGTTAATTAGTGTGTTAATTCCCCACCCTTAATTTTATGGTCAAGATCTTATCATTTTTTTGGTGGTTTATGTAAAGGAAAAATAACTAATAACTTTTAAATATTTTTATTAAAGGGATAATCCATGTGTTTCATATATTACTAGTATTCCCGGTCCGTGCTTCGCGGCGGTTTTCATTTTTTATGTAAGAATGCTACATGTGTTTTTTAATTTTTTATTATTTAAAATGTTTTCATCTTTGTTTGAGTTTTTATTCAATTCTTGCTTTTGTTATTTGGAATTTAATTTAAATTTCATACAATTCATTACTTTTTTTAGGTTTCAAATGAAACAATATAACATAAAATGAAAATCTTAATTTAACATCAAAACAATATACAATAATTGTAAAATTAAAATTCTTCTTCTATTCTCTTTCAGCTAGAAATTATGTTTCTTATATTACTCTGGCGGCTGGTTGTCAATTGGAATTAGTTTCACAGGTCCATTAATATCTACATTCTTTTTGTCATCATTTATTTTGAGAGAAAAAATTATACTTTGCTATGTGTGTTTGGTTGCAATTTAGAATTGAATTTTTACTTACTTTTCTTGAATTATAGCTGTCTCGTTCACTTGTAAATTCACACACACACACACACACACACACACATATAATATTGCGTTTTCTACAACAATAAATATATACATTTGTAAGAGTAGTACAAAACCCATTTGCTTTTATTCAGATATCCATCCCTAAGGGATGATAACATAAATTTTTATGCAGAATTCCCATCAATTAATGTAAAAAATTGAGCAATTTCTTATAGCAAAAAAGAAAAAAAATTAAGGTCGAAGTCTTAAATTTGTCATCTCGAACTTAGCCTTTAGGACAAACACCTTTGAAGTTCATAACCTCATATACATCTGAAAATATCTTGATGTGACTTAAAAATAACATAATTTCAAATCTGAGTTCAACTTAAAATACTTAAAAATACATGTTGAATACAAAAGAAAAGACTAATGCTCTTCTTTCTTGTCATGTTCATCTGCTCCTCTTGTCGTACCTGATTCAATGTTTTAAATTTCAAACAGAATTTGAAACTTGGAAGATAAGTTAACATCAAATCGTTTCTTTGGTAAGAACATTCTCACCTATGAACAATTATGCTTGTCTTAAACTTTTAAGACTACTTCATCAACATTCACAGCCTCAACCTTGAAAATTGTACCCTCTTTTTCTTTTTCTTTTTTTTTTCTTTTTCCTCTCAATCAAGATAAGTACTGTTCTAAAACTATCATGATCATATATATATATATATATATATATATTTTAAATATCTTGGAAAATAATTTCTCATACCTGAATAGTTTATGGGTCATTATTCAATATTTCCTGCAATGTAACTACATAAATAAAGACAACCTCTGGACAGAGCCAAGCTTTTCTCTCTCCCTCTTTTACTAAGAACAAAAAAAATTTATAAAGGAAACTCATCACTGCATCTAGAGCATCATATGCTGCCCTGTTCTGAGTCAAAGAGTGGCACTTCTCTATGTACCGAAAAAAAGAGTGGCACTTCTCTTATTCAATCATATGTTTACCTAGAACTAATAAATAGTTATACCACAATAAATGCTGCAAAAAATTCTTCAATACATATTAACTTCTATATAACAAATAATATTGTATTATTTAATCATATTTATCAAATTTTATAATTCATAGTTACTAAACTATAAGTTTAGTGATCCTAAACTGATGCTAGCATATAAAGATCAAGTTTCAACACCTTTACAAAATATACATGGCTGATGCCTTTTAAGACTTAAGACTATGTAAAGTCGTGATTCCTTGCAAGAAACAATAGCTACATATAGTTATGATTGGGTAGCATAGGGAGGAATAATACGCTGCAACAAAGAAGATATCAATCCATCTCTTTTCACCAAGCAATATACCTATAGCAAGAAAGATATCAATCAGGCATATAATCATCAAATATACATAATTAATCAAGTCACTAAATTTTAAAGCTACAAGAAATGAGTTATGAAAGGTTCAACAATCATAACAAACCATCCTAAAATACCAATGCAAAACAATAGATACCTACAAGCTTTGAACAAATTAACGTGATTTTAAATGCATGCAAAATGCTACAAACTTTGTCACAATCACGATCTCATCTTGTATACGTATTTCCCTTGAAATGGCAATAATATTCATAATAAAACATAGTAATGGTGAGATCAGACATGTCTCAGGTGAATAAGAAACTAAAAAGTAAGACCCTGCAAATGGTTCATACTAATCTAGAAATTATCAACACGTTTGCAGTAGGTTTTGACAAATATTTGTCATGGAAGAATGATGTTGTGGGGCATCAAATATATTCAATTCCAATTAGAAAAGATCAATTGAAATTCTTTTCTTAATTTATGTACACAAAAGTATTATTAATATAATAATTATCTCTCAATGCGAAACGAATAGCAAGAATCACCATTCATCATTACAAAAGCATTTCCTTGAATGGAAGTGATGGAATTTGCAGGAATCTCTAATGCTGATTTTGCGTCCTATGATCATGATACATGTTTCGCAAAATCATGGCAGTCTTTGCATGCCTGAAGATTCTCGAAAACAATAATAGGAGCATTTCTTGGTAAAGATATGAACAGACATATTTGTAGGTTGTTGCATCTTATAGCATATATATAACATGAACTTTTTGTTGCTAAATACGACATTAATACCAACAGATCCCATAATAGAAACAAATGATTGTGTAATAATATTCACTAATGTGTTTGAATTAGCACTTTACAATTCACTATTCTTAACTGTAATAATAAAAAAAATGAATAAATTCCACCTGATTTGGAAAGGATAAAGGGGTATCTCACCTTGGAACAAATTTGACATATTTTCTTTTATCATAATAAAAAGAGGTATCTAAACGAAGACTCAAAATTGAAACGAAAATAATAAGTAGTCAAAGAAATTACCTACCTAAGACCTCACCCGCGTACGTTTAGCTTTCCGCAATCCACCCTCCATGGAGGGCCTGCACCCACCACCAGACCCACCAAACTCACCGCTGGTTCGATCCCCGGCTGCCAAGAGAACAAGGGGCGATGAATCTACATCCACTAATGGGCTAGGAAAACAACAACAATTTGGGAAGCCTAGAGGCGAAAACACCATCAGTTTCAAAGATGCCATTTTGAAACAAAATTAACTACCCAAACTCACCTGGGAAGAGGTCCTAGAGGACAATATGGAAGACACAGATATGGGAGGAAACATTTGGGAATGCTGGGACAGCGAGAAAGAGGGGTCGAAATGGCCCCAGCTGAAAGTCTCAAAGGAGGAGCATGAGAGCCTATGCCAACCATGGAAACAAACCTTGATAGTGAAAGTCCTTGGTAAGTCCGTGGGCTACAATTTTCTTCTTAACAGACTGAGACAAATCTGGAACTTGCAACAAGATTTTTCTTTGGTGGATCTAGATAATGACTATTTTTTTAGTCAGAGTTCGAAACCCAGATGACTACAACACCATTGTGTCAGGGGGGCCATGGATAGTCGCTGGGCACTACCTCACCATGAGAAAATGGAAACCCTTGTTTCGCCCATGTCAGGCATCTATCACATCAACAGCTGTGTGGGTAAGATTTCCTGGACTTCCCATTGAATTTTTTAACAGGGCAAAACTCACTGAAGCCGGTAATCTTCTAGGAAGAACAATTAAAGTTGACAAACCCACTGACAGTTCATCTAGAGGAAAATATGCTAGGGTCTGTGTTGAGGTGGAATTAGGAAAACCGTTAATAGGTGGAATTATGGTTGGTACCTTTTGGCAGAAAGTGGAATATGAAGGTCTTGATGAGATCTGCTTTGATTGCGGCATTTATGGCCATAAAACTAGTGAGTGCCATCAGAGAATCTTTAAAGCTAATAATGAGACAACACCACCACATGAATCTGATGTTGCTGTAGTGGAAAACCAAGGGCACAATCAAGAAGATCCCCACCAAAAACCCCAATTTGGGCCATGGATGCTAGTCCAAAAAAGAAACAAGAAATCTCCAAACAAGGGTGTCGCTTCGTCGAGCAGAATTGGTACTACTGGTGAAGGGTCCAGATTTGCGCCATTGGAGACATTAGGGGAAGAAGATGCAGGAAACTCAGGGAAGACTCCTGTTGACAGTGATGCCCTATAAACCCATCAGGCCCAAATGAGAAATGAATTAAAGTCCAAAAGCAGTGCATCCATAGTGAAGCCTAAGCCCACCAAAGGTAAATCCAAAGCCCTCTCAGACATCACCAATGGAAAACCCAACCAAGAGAAACCCATGAGACAAACTGGGGTTAAATTTTCAGAACCTAGCGTGAACAACATAACGCCCGACAACAACAAGTTTTCAATTGGAAACCAACAAGCGAACCCTACCATCTACAAGAAGACAACCAGAGTGAAATCTAGGTCAGTTGTTCCCACCCCAACCAACTTGGATTTGAGTAAAGTCCCTGTTCCCCCAGCTTTCTCTAACATCCCCTATCCTTCCTCAACACTCTCACCCTCTTCCTCAACCGTCAACCCCTCATCAGTTCCTTCTCCACCAACTCTAGAAAGCAACCCGCCAAAGGTGAATACCAATGAACCTGCCGACAGTGACCAGATCCAAGTTGATACATCCACCGTGGCTAACATGGATTGGTCCGATCCGGGAGAACCCCGAACTGATCCTTCCCCCAGCGATTGTAGACGAGATTGTGATGAGGATGGAACCGAATCCCAACGCCCCACCGGCTCTTGTGGAGACCTCGATTTCTCTCCCGCTTCGATGGTTAAGGAGAGTGGATTCCAAGGTATGGACGGAGTCTGCTGACTCCATTGATAACCCACTTTACAATAGTCAATTTCCAATGAAGATCCTATTATGGAATGTTCGTGGTGCGGGTAATAATGATTTTCTTAGGAATATTAGAGAATTAATTCGTTCTCATAGACCTTCTCTTGTGGGTATCTTGGAAAACGAGAGTAAGTAATTAGAGAGCTGATGATATAATCCGAAGGATTGGCTACCAGAATTCTACTAGAGTAGATGGGTTGGGTTTTGCTGGCGGAATATGGCTTCTCTGGAATGAAGAGGAAGTTGATGTGACAGTGGAACATTCTAATTTTCAGTCTATAACAGTTAATATCAGAAGGAAGGAAGGAAATCTGCGTCTTACCACGGTTTATGGTAGTCCTACTCCTTCGAATAGGGAACAGTTGTGGGATACCTTAAAGGAACTGGGGGAAAGCAGCAATGATTCGTGGGTGGTAGGTGGTGATTTCAACGAAATAGCAGCAGCGAGTGAGAAGTATAACTTCAAGGATTCAGATTGCCAGGTGTAGGAGGATGCAAGAGGCTCTCCAGGCATGCAATCTCATTGATTTGGGTTTCATTGGTCCCAAATTCACCTGGCACAAGTCCCCGAATAGCCGGCTATCAGTTAAAGAAAGACTTGATAAGTTTTATTGCAATGTTCCCTGGTGGAATATGATTCCAGATGCGGTGGTTTTTAATTTACCAAGAATCAAATCAGATCATTGTCCCATCCTACTTGATACGGAAGGTTTTACCCCCCCTCTAGCAGTCTCAAACCCTTCGGTTTGAAAATGCTTGGATGACTGATCCTGACTTCAAAACCATTCTCAAACAGAGTTGGGAAAATCATGATGCTCCCATACAAAGCAAGCTTACGAAATTTGCTGAAGTGGTGAGGAAATGGAATAAAAGCAGCTTTGGAAATATCTTTCAAAAGAAGAAGAGATTGCTGGCAAGTCTAAGAGGGATCCAAAAGGCTCGCTGTAATGGTGAGAACCCTTTCCTAGTGGCACTTGAGAAGGAATTACAACATGAGTACAGTGAAGTTTTGAGACAAGAAGAATTGTTATGGTTCCAAAAAGTAAGAACTAAGTGGATTCAGTCTGGGGATCGCAACACAACATACTTTCACACACTTGCTCTTGTCAAAAGAAGCCGAAATAGAATTAGATCCTTGAAAGATTCAGAAGGTAATTGGGTGAATGACCAAGCAACGATCAAAAGAATGGCAGTGCAGCACTACAAGACCTTGTATACTGAATCATTAGAGGAAAGCTTGAGGCCTGACATCTCAGTTACCTTTCCCAGGCTTGAAGTGAATGAAATTGAAGAACTTCACAAGCCAGTGGACGATGACGAAGTGAAAGAAGCTATGTTCAGTATAGGGCCTCACAAAACCCCAGGGCCAGATGGGTTTCAAGCTTGCTTTTTTCAACAGAATTGGGACACTGTGGGCGAAGCAGTTACCAAGAGTGTGAAGGAAGCTTTCAGTTCTGGCGAGGTCCCTTTGGAGATGAATAAGACTTTAATTACCCTTATCCCCAAAGTGAAGAGCCCAGAGAGCATGAATCAGCTGAGGCCGATAAGCTTGTGCAATATTTCATACAAGCTTATCACCAAGATTATTGTGAATAGATTGAAATAGATTCTGCCCAAGCTAGTGTCCCCCATGCAAAGTAGTTTTGTGCCAGGAAGGCAAATAGTGGACAATATTGTTGTGGTGCAAGAAATGTTACATTCCTTCAAAAAAAGGAAGGGGAAGACGTGAGCTTTGGCCTGGAAGATTGATTTGGAGAAAGCATACGACAAAATGAACTGGGATTTTGTGAGAGAAACTTTAATGGAAATTGGCTTCAACAGCATCCTTCTAAAACTTGTCATGAATTGCATCCAAACGACTTCATTTCAGATTTTGTGGAATGGCGAAGCTACCGAGGAATTCAAGCCAACAAGGGGATTACGACAGGGAGATCCCTTTCCCCATATTTGTTTGTTTTGGGTATGGAAAGGCTATCTCATATTATACAGCATAAGATCGCCATGAAACAATGGAAACCAGTGAAAATTAGTAAGAATGGCCCACCTATTTCTCACTTATTTTTCGCTGATGACCTTGTTCTTTTTTCAGCTGCTACCCCCTGCCAAACCAAAATTGTCATGGTGGCTTTAAAGGAATTCAATCTTTGGACAGGGCAATCTGTAAGCCTTGCCAAATCCAAGCTATGTGCAACCAAGAACACAAGAAAAATGGATGCCAAGAACCTGAGCAACCAAACAGGCATTCCCCTCACTTCTGACCTGGGGAAATATCTAGGTGTCCCACTCATTCAGGGCAGGGTATCTAAGAAAACTTATTGGCATACTGTGGAGAGAGTGCAAGAGAAATTTGCGAGCTGGAAAATTAACCACTTGTCTCTAGCAGGTAGAACAGTTCTGATCAAATCCGCAGCCTCACCAGTCCCAATTTATACTATGCAAACAGCGAGACTTCCTCTCTCTGTATGCGATGAGATTGATAAAAGAAGTAGGGGGTTTCTTTGGGGTAGTTCTGCAGAGAAAAGAAAGATCCACTTAGTTAATTGGGAGCAAGTGTGCAAGCCAAAAAACCAAGAAGGGTTGGATTCCGAGCTTCAAGAGATGTCAACCTGGCTTTACTTGCAAAGATGGGATGGCGACTCATGGAAGAAAATGAATAAACTATGGGCTAGAGTGATGACCAGCAAATACCTCAGGAAGAAGGAATTTTTGAAAGTTGAAAACAAAAATGGAGGCTCCTTCGGATGGCGTAGCATTTTGGCTGGTAGGGAAACATTGTTAAAGGGGCTCAAATGGAGAGTGGGTAATGGTAATCTGATTAATTTTCTGCATGACAAATGGGTCTCGGACAATAAACTTATTGATACTGTCGTTGGGTAAGTTGATGATAGACTCCGCCAAGCTAAAGTCAGCCAGTTTTGTGATGAGTATGGGTGGAAAACTGAAGAACTGCTTGACCTCCTCCCTGCAGACATTGTTAGGAAAATTCAAGCTATCCCAATTCAAATCGGCCATCATTTGCAGGATAAAATGATTTGGGGAAGTTCTCCAAATGGAGAGTTTTCGACAAAAAGTGCTTATCAGATCCAAGCAGCATGTGACGATATTGAATCCCTCCCCAATAGCCAAAGCAATTTGGAAGATCCCTTGCCAACCCAAAATGCAAACTTTTTTATGGCTTGCATGGAAAAATAGAATTGTGCATAATCGTAACAGAGTTGTAAGGAATCTCACTGAAGATCCAAGCTGTAAACAATGTGGGGCTGCAAATGAAAACACGTTACATGTATTGAGGGACTGCCCTCATGCAAAAGAGGTTTGGAATCATTGGGTGGGAGCATCTGACACTAATTTTTTCCGATGTAGTGAGGCACAGTGGTGGAATGCCAACTTAATTGATAAAAAAACAGGTTGATTGGTAATTGGCCTTGGAGTTTGATATTTGCTGTCACAGCGTGGAGAATTTGGAAATGGAGGAATGAAGGGTGTTTTGCCAATAAGAGCTATACTGTCTCCACCAAACTAGCTATTATTGGGAAGATACTCAAGGAGGCAACAGATTTTTCCAACCGCAAAATGGGCCAACACATGAGGAGGGAAGTTCTCATTGGATGGGAAAAACCGAAAGAGGGACAAGTCAAGATCAACACTGATGGAAGCTGGTTTCAAAGAACTAATGAAGCTGCAGTTGGCGGTGTGGTTAGAGGTTCTTGCGGGGAGTGGCTTCTGGGATTCTCTCAGTCTGTGGGTGAATGCTCCATTGACTTGGAAGAACTTTGGGACATACTACAAGGTCTTTCACTCGCCTGGAGCAGAGGGTTTAATGATATTGTTGTGGAAAGTGACTCTGCTACTTCAGTTGACATGATTAAAAAGGGTGTGAATAAAAACCACCCTCATTTTTGCATCATTGCTGCTATCCAGGATTACCTTTCTAAGGAGTGGACTTGCCAATTGCATTACATCCCGAGGGAAAATAATTTTGTGGCGGATTGGATGGCTAAGAATAGCAGCGGCAGACATGAAGGAATCATGATTTATAATACCCCACCAGCTGGGGTGCTCAACTTATTGATTGCAGATGCTGTGGGCGTGGCTTTCCCCAGGATGGTTACTTAAGTTCTTCTTGTAATTTTGCTACTTGCTCAGGGCTTTATGCTCTCCTTTTCAACCAAAAAAAAAATTTGAAACAAAAATAGAAGAAAGGAGGAACCTGTCCAGGTCTTGCCCTGTGAGTTCATTAAGGGTGTACGGTATTCATGCATCACTTAATTTGTTCTCTTTCCTTAAGGAGCCCGGCGCTGTAAAAGACCCGAGTTGCCAATCAAGCTGGACCGAAACAAACAATATAAATAAAAATAAACTCTAAAACATTTAAAAAAAAGAACAAAAAACAATAATTTAGATTGATACACAGCCAAAGCAAAATAAATAATTTTTTTTCTTTCAAGGTGTAATAACAACAACCATAAATCAAAACTTCCCCTAACAATAATCAACACTTGAAAAAAATTTATGGATACGGTCCATAAATTTTCATCAAACAATTGCCATTAAATTCAATAATAAGAAGAAACAAAGTATTTGGAAATCCAAAGACAAAATTTACCAATTTTCAATGACACATCAGACTTAAGAACAACAGTATGTTTTGAAGTCGCAATCTAGCTTCTAGTGTTGGGGTTGGAGGAGCTGTCACCATCTTCACCGTTGTCATCCTCATCAGAAATCGAAAACCATTTGGGAGCATGAGCGTTTTCTTCTTTCAATATTTGTGCCTGGAGCAAAGAGGAGAGTTGGAAAATAGGTTCTTTACCTTTACGTTGCTGTTGGCATCTTGAAATTACGACTGTAAACCTTCTTCCTAGCGTGAAAATCACAATAAATCTCTGGAAAATTCCCTTCCAAGAGTCGTTCTATTCTTACCCAACGATAGGAAGGAAAACAAAGGAGGAAAAAATGATAAATAGATGTGTAGCACTAAAGGAGCCAAAAATCTGATATATATAAAAAAAAGGAGCAAAAAAGCCTCCTCAATTTCCTTCCCTAATTAAATTTTCTTTTGACCTTTTTTCCTAGACTGACTTGGGTGCTACGCACAAAAATTAATTTAGATTAAAAGAATCTATCTAGTAAGTGGAAAGACAAAAATTGAAAATCCGGATTGTTATTTACCGCTCCCTTTTGGCTAAATACCACCCCCCTTTTTACACTTTTGCTATTTGTTTATATTTTGAAATTTCTAACAACTTCTTCAAACTCTCAACCTTCAAACCCTAAACTTCATTTCTAACAACTTCTTCAAACTTCATTTTTAACAAATCTTCAAATTCATTTTCCTTCATTTTAATCATAAACTAATTAAATACTAATTAATAATAAACTAATTAAACATAAACTAATTAAAACTAATCATAAACTAATTAATATTAATTTTTTTTTTTTAAAAAAAAGAAAATGGCCGAGCCGCCCAAACTGGGCGGCTAGCCATGGTCAAGGCCGCCCAGCTTGGGCAGCTAGCCATGGCAAGGTCGCCCAACTCGGGCGGCTAGCCAT